AAAGTTTTATCACAGATCGTAAGAGAAATTAAAGAAAAAAGTGTAAACAGAGCAATATTTAATGAACGATATATACCATTTATGAACTCGGCAACTTCTTTGTTTTATCACAAGAAAAGTCGCGCTGGACATTACGATTCTGTAGTTTGGAATGATGTTGGGGATAGCAGTCAATCTTGGGAAATCGAACAGTCCCGCTGTCACTGCATCAACACCAACTGAACAGTCTTTTTGTGCAGCCAACAAATGTTCTTGTGGTAAAAATGGAAAACGTGGCGACAAAAAAAAGGAGCTTGTGTAACCTCAAAGGGTAATTATGCATCCAGATGTCCATGTTACAATAACCAGAATGCCTGTAACGATGCTTGCTTATGTAAACAATGCGAAAACCCGTTTGGAAAGCGCAAAGTTCTCGCTCAAAGTCCATTTTCCTTGACTTCAGGCCCTTCAAGAGAGAGGGTAAGGCACTCCCTTTCGACTAAAATGACTCCAGGAAAAGAATTCATGGAGAAAATGGATGTAAATATAGAACGACTATGGAATCCCACAGAAATACTCATATTTGAATGCATTCTACAGCTACTAGTCAGCCTACATATTCCAATTAACGCAGAAAACATTCGGCTCTATTTCAACCTAATAGCCAACTGAGTAACGCAGTTGGGTTTTAATTTTGATGTGGTGAAGAAAAGTACAGAAGCCATTGTACGTCGTATGAAGGCACACGACAAAGCATTACAGGCGTGGCTACACGGATATGTTTGGAAGCAAATGAAAGAAAACGAAGACTGAATGAATGAAACGATATTCATCCCATAAATCAATCACATTGACGTTGTTTATATTATATACTTGTTGCAATTGGAGAACTTTTATACACAAGTTCTGTTGTACACTCAGACGAACACTCAGTTTTGAAAATATATATTGCATGTATCGGATAGGTGTAGAAAACAAGAAAAATTTCTGTTGTACGTTCAAACAAACGGACCGTCAAGAAATAGGCTATCAGCAGATTATGCTCTATGCATGTACTATTACAGTTTATAATATGCAGTTTTCTTAACACCTAAGTTAATTTTGATTTTAAAGACATTTTTGATATAATCTTCTAAAGTTATCTTTCTCGTTCACTTTCATCTCCTCACATTCACATTGGGTTAAGGCGAAATAATAATATGTCAATAGCGAGGTTTAGATTTAAAGTGGAAGTCAAGTCCATTCTGCGCATCGGTTCTGGTCATAACAATGTGAGGGCCTGTGAGGGCCCTCTAATGTAAAAATCACCTAAATTTCGAATGTTTCGAATTTTTCTGAACATAAACTCTATTTCATATTCATTTAGAAGCAATAGCAAACCAAAATGGTGTTAGATATTCAGATAGTACATCATATTTTAAAAAATACAGCAGTTCAAAATGTAAACAAACCGTTTGTTTACATTACGGACTTGACTTCCACTTTAACCTCCCGACTGCCACTGGCCGCTACAACTAAGGAACCATAAACCGACCAAATGCGGCGTTTAGTCCAGTTCGTTAATTAACTAATCACTTGCGTACAAAGTCAGTAACAAGTAACGGTAATGGAAATCAAATCTGAACTTCGCTATAAACAACATCAATATCGGTAACTATCCAAATACTATCCTCTCGCCAAAGAAATGGGCGTGCCTTACCCTTCCTGTATGTTACTGTAAATAATTGTTCATGCAGCTCAATTATAACATATATCATGAAGTCGCTATATTATAGTACTTATAGTGGGTTTAAAAGCAATAACGCCAGTAACGTACGTCTATAAAGGCAGTAACGTCTAATAACGTCTATATATAACGTTCATAACGTCTATAACGACAATAACGTCTGTAACGTCTATAACGCCCATAAGCCAATAACGTCTATACTGACACCAATAACGTTCATAACGTCTATAACGTCATTCACAAATCATTAATAATTCACGAGGAAAACACAAAGAAAAGTCACAAGCGTGTCATATCTTTATATGTGATAGAAATTTCCCTTGATTTACATAAACTTTAACTTTGATTTTCTTGACTTACACAACGTATTTTTTTAATATTATTTCGCCAATGAACTTACTAGATCGATCGTTTTTGAAGCAATTTAAAACATTCGCAGTGCGTGTTCTATGAGACCTAAAGATACTTGGCTTCGCCTCGTACCTTTATATCTGATAAAACACGGCCGCTCATGTTTTAAATAGTACATAACGTTCATAACGTGACGTCTATAATGCAATAATGTCCATAACGCCAATAACGTCTATAACGCCAATATCATTCTCCCCCATTTTGATTATTGTAGTTCTATGTGGGATAATTGCAGAAAAGGTTTACGGGATGAACTTCAAAAATTACAAAATCGAGCAGCTCGAATAATTACTAGGAGCAACTACGAAATACGCTATTCCCATATTTTAAATAACTTAAATTGGCCAACACTAGAAGATAGGCAAATGAAACAAAAATCCTGTCTAATGTTCGGCTGGTTAATTTTGCAGGTTGCAGGTTTGCAATTCCCTACATCCAGACGATGAATGAGATCAGTGACTGATCTCCACTTCCGGTTTTCAGCATGATCACTGTGGCATGATGGCGAGTTTATATTTTCATGCAAGAATTTGAAATCAATTTATTTCGATTTTGAAACTTGATGTTTATCGATAAAAGGCAGTTTAGTTTTAAGAACATTTTGAAAGGTTTTGCGAAGCGTTTGTGGTTGATTTTTACATTAATTGAAGCTTATATTACGTACCTGCGCGCATCTGTTTTAGGCACCCACGTGAAATTTTTCATTATTTCGTGATTTTTTCATTATTTGTCAAATTTGTATAGGAAGTGTTTCAAAAATGGCTTTCTGTTGAAATTATTCACAAATACTGACTTTGTTTATACAGTTAGCGAAGCCATAGCCTGCGTAGCGAAGCCAAGCTTGGAAGCTAGCAAAAACTGCCAAAAAGCTCAAGAATCGTCAAAATTTTCTTGGATTTTGTCGTTCAACATTCAGATTTTTAGCTCAAAATTTGACAAATTCAAATGGTGAAAAATAATGAATAATGAATAATGAAAAAAATCCGCATCAACTTTTGAAATTTTAGGTGACGGTAAACTGATACCTCACTTCCATTGGCCATAATAACATTACCCAGGATACATATTATGTTTGGGAAATAATTGATCATTTTGGGGGGATTTTTCAATTTTAAAACTATTCTTAAAATTATCGTGTTACCATGACAATACTTCATGTTTGGAAAACATAATAGTTTTGTCAGCAAGGCGAGGGTTTCTGCATGCATGTTTTCTAGTATAGCTTATAATAGACATTTACTGTATTCTATATATACCACTATACCAGTATTGATATTTTTGTTTGAATAAAGTTATTGTTTGTGATGAAAACCGGAAGTAGAGATCAGTCACTGATCTCATTCATCGTCTGGATGTAGGGTATTGCGAACCTGCAACCTGCAAAATTAACCAGCCGTCTAACGTTCAAAGTGTACCAACAAATTAGGCCCATCTTATCTTTCACAGCCATTTAATCGAGCGAATTTAATTCACAGTCATGGTACACGAGGTCATGACTACAATTTTGTTATTCCTAAACCAAACACCAATTTTTTGAAAAATAGTCTCGAATATAACAGAGCAGTGGTATGGAATTCAATACCAATTGAAATTAGGAATTCCACTTCCCTAAAAATATTCAAAAATATACTGTAGAATTACTTTGTTATGTATATACTTTAATTTCTCATTCTCCTTGTAAATATTGTAAATAATTCAAATGTAACGGCACCTGGGAAGATCATCTTATTTTCGATGACAGGCCTCCGTGCTTAAATAAAGTTCACTATCAATATCGTCTATAACGCCAATAACGTCCATAACTGCTATAACGTCTATAACGACTATAACGCCTATAACACCAATAACATATATAACGCCAATAACGACTATAACGCCAATAACGTATATAACGCCAATAACGTCTATAACGCCAATAACGTTTATAACGACTATAATGTCTATAACGCCAATAACGACTATAACAACTATAACGCCAATAACGTATATAACGCCAATAACATATATAACGCCAATAACGTCTATAACGTTTATAACGCCAATAACGTCTATAACGCCAATAACGTCTATAACACTAATAACGACTATAACGTATATAACGTCTATAACGACAATAACCGTCTATAACGCCAATAACGTCTATAACACCAATAACGTCTATAACACCAATAACGTCTATAACGCCAATAACGTCTATAACGCCAATAACGTCTATAACGCCAATAACGACTATAACTCCAATAACGACTATAACTCCAATAACGCCAATAACGACTATAACGCCAATAATGTCAAAAACGCCAATAACGTCTATAACGCCAATAACGTCTATAACACCAATAACGTCTATAACGCCAATAATGTCTATAACGTCTATAACGCCAATAACGTCTATAACACCAATAACGACTATAACGCCAATAACGACTATAGCGCCAATAACGACTATAACGCCAATAACGACTATAACGCCAGTAACGACTATAACGCCAGTAACGACTATAACGCCAGTAACGACTATAATGCCAATAACGACTATAACGCCAATAACGACAATAACGACTATAACGTCTATAATGCCTATAACGCCAATAACTCCAATAGCGCCAATAACGTCTATAACGTCAATAACTCCAATAACGTCTATAACGCCAATAACGACTATAACGGCAATAACGTCTATAACGCCAATAAAGCCAATAACGTCTATAACGGCAATAACGTTTATAACGCCAATAACGACTATAACGCCAATAACGACTATAACGCCAATAACGTCTATAACGTCTATAACGCCTATAACGTCTATAACGTCTATAACGGCAATAACGTCTATAACGCCAATAACGTTTATAACGTTTATAACGCCAATGTCTATAACGCCAATAACGTCTATAACGCCAATAACTCCAATAACGTCTATAACGCCAATAAAGCCAATAACGACTATAACGCCAATAACGTCTATAACGCCGATAAAGCCAATAACGACTATAACGCCAATAACGACTATAACTCCAATAACGTCTATAACGCCAATAACGTCTATAACGCCAATAAAGCCAATAACGTCTATAACGCCAATAACGTCTATAACGCCTATAATGACTATAACGCCAATAACGACTATAACGCCAATAACGTCTATAACGACTATAACGCCAATAACTCCAATAACGTCTATAACGCCAATAACGACTATACGTCAATAACGACTATAACGCCAATAACGACTATAACGCCAATAACGACTATAACGCCAATGACTATAACTCCAATAACGTCTATAACGCCAATAACTCCAATAACGTCTATAACGCCAATAACTCCTATAACGCCAATAACCACTATAACTCCAATAACTCCAATAACGTCTGTAAACGCCAATAACGACTATAACGCCAATAACGTCTATAACGCTTATAACAGCAATAACCGGTAAACAACAATATATATACCACATAAAGTATATGAACTTATTTTGTCACTGGTAATTAATGACGTCATTTCGGGATATTTATATGGAAATTGACCCCTTTTGTGATAACCGGAAACACAAGCTTTTACAAATTTATATCAGCAATTATTATGAATATAAAATAGTGTTTATAAGTTCTTATATTTGAATACAAACACCGCCTTGTAATTTTTTAAGCTTTCGGAAAGCCTTTAGAATTGATCCTTTTAAACTTGATTAAAATTACTAAATAGTTGCTTGCCAACATCATGTACAATATATTGTCGTTGTTTAACTCAATTCAACCCGCCAATATTAATTTCCGACATATATGACGGGAAGATTAAGTATGAAAGAAATCTGCGAGTATTTGCAGTAGAAATACGAAAATACCACCAAAACATTCCGCTTGATCGATACTATATATTCCGAAATATTCATATAATTTCATTGTTTCGTGCTCAATTGAGAGCGAATTTCTTACCTTGAAACGGTCACTGCGGTGAAATTTATACAAATGACGCATTACCAATTTCACTGTTGCGCTATCCATCTTCTATTGCTTGTATCTTTGCTTCTTTTTAACATATAATAAAGACAAATATATTGAAAGAATCGCCATTTTGCATTCTATAGCTCGGAGCAGTCTCAGGAAATTGCAAAATAATCTATGCCTATTATGGCGATTTTCGTGGTCGGAAAGTGTTCAGCCAACTTTGGATGCCAAATTCTTGGTAAGCATGACAGTTTCCTGGTAAAAGAATGCGGAAATCACTTCCGGAGTGTTTTTTACCCTAGATACAGATTTTGATTGGCTTAGACAGAAAAACAAACCTTTTATGGCAATTTTCCTGATTCAAAAATATTGCGCACTAACGTTGTATTCTCTTTCTGTTGTATTGTCACATTGAAAGAATGGCATCTCTCAATTGTCAAGACGTTCTTGACCTTATCTTGCAAACTGATAGTGCTAGTGACGACAGAATGTCTTCGGACGAAGAGGAGTATCCCAACCTGGCATTGGGAGTTGTGTCTGGAGTTTCGAGGCAAGTATTTTATTCATTTTTAGACATTCCATTTCAAATATGTTTTGCCGTTGCCATGCGACATTGTAAATTCAGTTGCATTTAGTAGCGTGACTAGTATGAATTAGTATGTCCTCATATCGCATTTTTTGTGTTGAAGAGTCCTTCCACACCGAAATTGACAAATATAAATGGTATTTATTATATTTTTGACAAAAATTTATGGTATTTTAGGCATAAAAATCCCTGATTCCTAGGCAAAGTAAAATGAGCCTTGAGCACATGTTTGATTGTTTGTTACATACATAATAGACCATAGACCAACACCGCGGAAAAACGTCTGCGCATGCACCAAATTATGAAAATAGGGCAGGGGAATTTGAATATCAATTTCTAAAACAAAAACATGCTTATTAATTGGTCAAAAATTAGTAAAACAAACGAGAAAATATAGTATATGGGTAGACTAGACATTAATTGAAAGCGTCCTGGCATTTAAAGCATAGAATGAAATATAATTCATGTAAAAAATTGTTGATTTTAACGGACACGACTTCGAAACTTTTTGCAAAATTATTCAAAACAAAAATTCAAACTAAAAAGTTAAGAAAACTCTCGAAAAGTTAAGCTTTTTAACCCACTCAAATTGTAGAATAAATCCAAAAGTTTAATTATCTTGAACACGAAAATTTTTTATATTTGGCAACACAGTTTTTTTAAAAGAAATGTATCTCAAACGAAAATTCGGAAATTGTCGTTGCCTAGTTGATAAACAAAATGTTTCAGACGATAAATTTGACAACAATCACCTTTAGTTCATGTTCTTGTACAATACAATTTCTTGAACCATCTGGCTGTATTTATTCCTAGTTTTTAGAATGACATGCTTATTTTCGTGCTCAAAATCTAGCTGTAAAGACGCACAATGAAGTCACTCCATTTTACCGCCATTTTGAGCCTTCGGAAACGTTCGAAACAGCGTTCGCAATACTATTACAGGTAAGGTTGACGCATGCGCAGATGTTTTTCCGCAGTGTTCCATAGACCAAGTATTTATATATCTTGATACTAGTCTGGCTATTGACTCTTGAGTGTATTTTTATTAAGATTTCAAGTGCTGTCATCTAAATTATGTCTATAAAAACGTTTTTATTTGTATGATGAAGACATTGATCCTGTCCCTGCTGCTGTTTCAGATCTCCAGGGAAGTAGCAGTTCTGATGAGTTATCTGAACCACACTCCCCTATTAGGAAAAGGTCTAAAGGTAGAGGGAAGGGTAGGGGGACGGGTAGAGGGAAGCCCACTATGACCCAAGGTGAAAGCTCGCTGTCTAGCACTCCATTAGGTCCCATAGTGCATGAGGGATTTGATGATCCTGACACTAGAAATATTCTCCCAGATTTTGCCCCTCACCGACATGTCGGGATCCACTTTGATCAAGCTTTCACCAGAAGTATGAACTGTGAGCTTGAGTTCTTTCGGCTCTTTTTCACTAAGGAAATGCTTCAGGAGGTAGTTGCCCATACCAATACATATGCCCACATAAAAATAACTAAAACATCATCCTCGTATACTGATAAAGAAGGGGCTTGGATGCCCACCAACCTTGAGGAGATTGAGAGGTTGATTGCCTTTTTAGTATATGCGGGTATGGTGAAGGTTGACAGTGACATTGAAAATTACTGGAGGGTAAAGACCTTATATCATGGTCTGTGGGCAAGAGAAATAATTTCTCGGTTTAGGTACAAAGCTGTTATGGCATTTCTGCATGTGGGGGACCCTGTCACTGAAGACCCCAGCAATAAACTGTGTAAGGTAGAATCTTTTGTTGCATCTTTTAGAGCAAGATGTCAACAACTGTATCAGCTATCACAGAATATTGCTGTTGACGAACGCATGGTCAAATCAAGGAATAGGTAGGGGCTTAGGCAGTTCATGAAAGATAAGCCTACTAAGTGGGGGATAAAACTGTGGGTTGCTGCAGACAGTTCTAACGGTTATACTTGTGACTTTGAGATTTATACAGGGAAGAAGTCCAGAGATTCATCGGAGCATGGGTTGGGGTATGACATGGTCACTTGTCTAACAGATAAGTATTTTGATCAGGTTACCATATTTATTTTGATAATTTTTATACCTCCCATCAGTTGGTTAGGGACCTATTCTTGCATGGTAGCCCTTCCATGGGCACAGTCAGGATAAATAGGGTAGGATTCCCCAAGTGTCTGAAAGATGTAAAAGCCTGGGTAAAAACTCAGGCACGTGGAGGGGTACAGTGGGTTAGGGAGTCAGAAGTGTTGACATTGCAATGGGTTGACAACAAGCCTGTTTTGGTGTTGACTACAATTGACTCAGCCAATGACTCAGTTTTAGCTAAGAGAAGGGCAGTGGTAGAACAGAAGTTTGTTAAGATAGATGTCCCTCAGCCTAAGGCCATACATAGTTTTATACTTTTTTCCAGAAATATCAGGCAGAGCATGAGGACATTGTGGAGTTGTAGCGTAAGAACACTTATAGAATGGTAGATTATAGGGAAGCTATAGTTAGGCAAATTTGTAAATTACCAGACTATGATGTCCCTCCGATATATTCCAGTGCTAAACGCTCTGTGAATACACATGATTTCCAAACAGATCATTTACCAGGGACTGACTCTACTATTAGGAGAAATTATTTTGCAATATAAGGAAGGCAGGGGCGAGAAACGTGTAACTACCTATTGTAAAGCTCCACAATGCAACAAAAGGTATTTACACATTTCTAGTTCTGAATATAATTGTTTTGATGCATGGCATAGTGAAGCATATGATATGTACAGATAGTTTCATTTGCATGTAGTTTTCCTTGTTTGAAAATTGTAATATTTAAAATAAAACAAAAAGATAAAAAACAACACAAAGACTTTAATAAATTAGTAAATTTAGTTTGTTTATTCATCACTTTACAAGTGAAGAGGTTGAAGTCTTGCAAATATGTAATTTACATTGTTGAATAGAAATAGGTAAGTAGTTAGGGTAGGCCGGATCATGATGTGATCTAAGTTTGGTTGTGGTCCAAGATAAACTTTGCCAAAAAAGGAAATATTTTCATCACATATTCCAATTGTGTGGATGAGTCCTGTCTTGACACACATTACTTTTTTTATAACTACCAGTGGCATCACCAGCCCAACAACACTTGGTCATGCTATATGCAAATATTTTCAAGATTGTGAAAACAATCAATTTCAACAAAAATGAGTAATGATTATTTAAAATTGGCATACTATCACCAAATTGTTGGGTGGGCTATGCGACTGATAACTACAATGGTGTGCAGATCATCTAAGCATGTATGTAGTACCTGTAGAAATAAAGACATTTTGCATATGGTGATTTGAGTGTTTTTTGTGGATATTATGATGCCATACTATACTTGGAGAGTAAGAAATATTGGAAATTTGGTGAATAGTATTGATAATATGCTGCAGCAATGACAAAGGACTTTGACAAGGGTAAATTGTTCCATGTGAGCACAAAATGTAAATTTCACTCCGCTACCTAGTTTATTAAAAAAATCAGTAAAAATACTACCATTTATGCTCCATGCATGAAACTTCGGGTACTTGTAGCTCAAAATCGTCTCTTTTTGTCACATTCATAAAAATATTTTTAAAATTTGAAATTTGGTCCAGTAAATACGTTTATGCATAATTGCAACATCTTTTTATTTCATA